GGGGGGCGGGGTGGGGGGTCTGGGGAGCCTGCCGGCACCTGGGACCGGGGAGGGTGCCGTCGGGGTGCGCAGGACTTGAGGGAAGGAGGGCCCGGTCCAGAGGGGCTGCGGTGCCGGGGTACCCGTGGCCCTGGGCGGCAGGAGTGTGCTTGCACACGCGGGCTGGGATTGGGGGTGGCAGGAGCGTAGTTTTTCCACCAAAGACTTTGTGGGAAGCAGTCAAGTGCTGGGTTATGTGAGAGGGGGTTGGCTGCTGCATAAGAACAGCCGTATCGGATCAGACTGCAAGTCTGTCTCTCCTCTTTTGTCACCTCTGATGGGTCGGGAGCTGGGAAACAGAAGTGGTACTTCCCAGGCATAGGCTCACAGGACCCTCTGCAGCCACCCCACCAAAAGGTTGTGCGCTGTTCTGTGTCATTTCCTGTAGCGCTGGGAAGTTCTTCCCCAGAGCAGGGCCCTGTTGTGCTGCATGGTGCACACGTTCCGGGAGGGAGGCCCTGTCCAGGGATCCTACATGCAGTCGTTGTTGTGCAGTGAGATTGGTGCCGGTTTAGCTATGCTGCTTGGAGAAGTCGGAATTGCCACTTTCTCTGCAAGTAATTTAGCTCCTAGTAGCTGTTCTTCTGTTGTCTTCAGTGTTAGAGCTGCTCTTACCTTCTTCTTTTTTTAGGCCAGTATGGTACATTCATTGATTGAAGCATATTCCTTACTCGACCAGATGAAGTAAGTGGCTCCGTTTTCTGTGAGGAGAATATTCTCTTGTCTGCTAAGGTTTGGAAGGTACTAAGTAATTGCTGGTCTCGTGCTGTCCCTGCTGCTGGCTTATAGAAACATACACATTGTGTGTTTCTAAGATTTGAGAAGAGTCTGTTCTGCTAAATGGACAAGATTATGGTAATCGTGGCAAATGTGGCATGTGATTACCCTTCCTGGTCTGACGGGGTACTTGTGCGTTCTCGGTACAGCTGTTATCCACCAGCTCCTCTCACAGCTTTGAGCAGAAGTGATGGAGTAGAAACCGTCCTTCTTAGCGCTGCTCCGAAGCCACTAGACAGCGCTGAAATTGACAGATATCATGTTTTGCCGTGTTGCAATTTGGGAGACTTTTGGTGAGCTCTTGAGGCTGTTCAAGAGATGACGTTGACATTGGGATTTGAGATAGAAGAGTAAGAACTCTTCAGTCCCCCAGTAGGCTCTTGAGATTGGGGATGGGAAGGGAAAAAAAGGCCTAGCTTAGCTTCTCTTGCACAGTATCTCATAACATCTTAAAAGATCCCAGACTGGTGTTCAGTAGGGCCAGACAGTCCCTATGGACTTTTTTCTTTTTTAAATTCTGGTCATTTTGGCAGAATCTGTTTGGGAAATGGTTACATATACAGTTACAGAGGCAGACCTGGGGAGTTGTTGTCCTTGGAGTGGGGAGAGACAGTCCAAGCACCTGGGGCTGGCTTGGAACGGATAACTTCTTGCATTCTTCCAGTAGCAATGCAGCTGTACCATCTGTGTGCCCCAAGAGGCTGAGGGGGCTGCAGAGGGCCTCAACGTGTTGCAGGGTTTAAGCGGACAGATTGCAAGGCACCCAGGCGCAGGAAAGATGTGTTCAAGTTCCCGAGGACAGAAATTGTCTCTACTTTGAGTACAAGCAGAGTTGAGAGCATGGGAGAGTCACTCTTCGGATCTTGCCCCAGCAGATTAGCATCCTGCAAGAGCGCTGGGCTGGGCCTTAAGGTTTTGACTCTGTAATTTCTTCTAAGTGTAATCAAAACGTTGAATCTGCTGGTAACTGGCCAAATTGGGAGAATAAACAGAAAAGGGAAAAAATTCTAAGCAAGGTAGGAAAGTTAATGCAGGTAGCACCTGCAAACGTTCCCTCAACAAGGGCAGGCGTGCTTGGGAACAGACTGGCAACAGACAGTGCCACGTTTGGGGGAAAGGCATGCTGCCGCTCAGCAGAGCAGCTCTCTCAATCAAAATGACAGTCTACTGTGGTAGGGGAAGTTATTTTTTAACAAAATACTGAAAAAAGATTCCTCATCTGAGGAGATTAAAGTTGGGCATCCCAGCGATACCCTGGTGCCTCCTGTACTGACCCCCTCCCTTCCCCCTCTCTGTCTAGGATAGTCAAGCCAAAAGTGGCTTCCATGGAGGAGATGGCAAGCTTCCACACAGACGCTTACCTGCAGCACCTACAGAAGGTCAGTGAGGAGGGAGATGATGACCATCCAGAGTCCGTGGAGTATGGGCTTGGTAAGGAACCTTGGGGGAAGGAGGAATGGAAGGTGCTCAGTTCATTTCCACCCTGAGGCTTTGTGCGTTGGCCAGAGAGAGCAGTCTTTCTTCTTTTCAGGGTTTCTTGATTTAGTCTAGTGTGTTTTTGCTTTGAGAATTCTTCGCTAATTGTTTTTTCCCAGTGTGCCTTAACTGCCTGAACAAGGTGCTTTATCGCTTCATACCGACTAAAAGCACTCCTTCTGAACCTGCAGAACCAGTGCAGCTCCCTGGATAGGCAGCTGAATTCTGTTCTGCCTCATGTATTTTCGGCAGGAGATCAACTGAGTATCAGGTCCAAGGTCTTTTTTGCTGGAGCCAACGTGAGGCGGGGAGTGAGCTCAAGCTTGCTGCTGGGTTATGTGAGTGAGATTGCAAGGTCAGTGTCCAGGAGAAGGTGTCCAGAACAGGCAGATGAGAAGTTCGCATTTCATGGCTGAATTCAATGTCGATGGCTATGTTTAAAGAGATTTGACATAGACTTTTTCTGGCTTTGCAGAAATACCTTCTTGAGAGCTGTAGGCTTAAAACTGTAAGGACATGGTTGTGTCCCAAAGAGGATCAGCCTGACCCAAGCCTGATACCGTGTTGTCACCTGTCAAGTTAACGTTTTCAGTGTGGCCAGCAGAGGGTACTATCATCCTCCAAGTGCTGCTTGGTGCCACTCTGCAGCGCCCACAGCTGCCAGGAGCCAGGGCCTTTTGCTGCTACTTGGGTGCTGCTTTGGGTATATTGAGCAGGACACAAGGCCCTGACATGCTGCCCTTGGAAAATAGGTGAGGACTGGCTGCCTGAGCCCACAAGGCTGCTGTAGCAGAAGACACTCATGTAAAAGAGCCAGGAGCTGGCTTGTATGCACAACCAGGAGCCAGAACAGCTGCTGTTTACCTGGCTTTGCTTACATCTGGAGCAGTGGGTTCTTGCCTGCCTGAGAGTGATAAAGTTTGAGCAATGCGGTAGTAGTTAGCGCAGGTGAATTAGCTATGGGTACTGCCTTTGTCTCGATCCGCCCTTTGAATTTCTGGAGCTACTTTGGCCATGATCTGAGGAGCAGCCCTGGGCTTGAGCTGGGCTGGGGAATGCCCAAGGAGGCTGCTGTAGGGATGAGGGAAGATCATGTTCTGTGGAGTACCTATGGAGTATCTAGGTTTGCCTTCCCTGTGGACAACTCAGTTTCTAGAGAGGGAAGGTACCTCTGTCGCTGTGTCCAGGCTTTCTTGGTAGAATAGCCAAAGAACTGAGAGCTTTTTTGCACAGTTGGTGTTGGGGACCAGGAGGCCAAGCAAGCCAGGCACGCGTTTTAGAAGCTGGCTGAAGACTCTTCTGTGAGTGATTTGCATGCAAGAAAGCATTTTGATTGTTGACATATTTATTTTTACTTTATGTTTATGGCACCTAGATCTGCTGTGTGTGTCCAAATGTGGTATCTGCTGTGGGGATCTTGTGCCATGTTTTTTGGGGGGGTGCTCAGATCAGAAAGTTAGAGCTATGCTTGAAGACCGATAGCTCAGAGCAAAGAGGATGCCCCTCTCCCGGAGGGAATGGCCTACCATGTCTGATGCTCTGGTTCTTGTCTGTAGGTTATGACTGTCCAGCTACAGAAGGGATCTTTGACTATGCAGCAGCTGTGGGAGGAGCCACCATCACTGCAGCCCAGTGTCTGCTGGACGGCAAGTGCAAGGTAGCAATTAACTGGCCTGGAGGGTGGCATCATGCAAAGAAGTAAGAAAACAATCTCTTCCCTTGTATTTTTTCATCTGGTGTCCGAACCTAGCCTCCTAGCTCCCACCTTCCCTGTGAACCCTTGGGGTGAGAAGATCCAGTAGTGGCTAGAAGAGAGAGTAAGGTGTGAGAGTGGGCTAGGAAAGACAGGAGGTAGGTAGCAAAGGTCAGAGTGTAGGGCAGAGGCCTGAGAGCAGGCCAGTTTCTGCGCAGTCCTGGTTCTATCATGGACTGCAATGTGGGTCTCAGGCAGTTGTATTCAAAGGTGCCTCAAGCCCTCCATCCAGTCATACTTGCTTATTTATCACCTGGGGGCCAAGTCGGAACTGATTTTGCAAAGCACATCACGGTCCCTGGAGAAGGGCTGTGGAAAGGCAAAGGGCGGATGTTGCTTCAAACTCAGGAGAGAGTGGGAATGTGTCAATACATTGTCCAAATTGTCACGTGTGGCTTTTTTTGATTTCTTAATAAGAGGAGGAGTAAAATAGCGCAGCACTGACCTCTTTTTTTTTTTTTCCCATGCTCTGAGAGCAGCTGTTTGCTCTGAACTCTAATGTCCATAGTAGTCTTCCAGAACAGTAGGAAAGGATGTAGAAATTTTGTCCCTGAGTCCTGTGGTTCATTAGTGCTAAAATCATTTGTTTCTGTGGCCCGTGGGGTATATGTTCTGACCCGGCAGAGAAGCTCTGTTGAAATATAATAATGGTGTTACTAACTATAGTGAGTGGTCTCAGTCTGTGGTGCTGCTCTGCTGGGAGCTGCAATTTATTTAATAGCTTCTAGATCCCATATGAAATCGTTGCACCCATGACTTTTTGCGGCACAGAGTCCTGTGGTGTCAGTAAGCCTTGCGTTCCCTCTTGTTTATTTTCAACCCGGCAGCTTCTAGCTTAATTGCATACCTCTTACTTCTCATATGATGAGACAGAGTGAATAATTGTTCCCTACATGCCTTCTCCCTGCTGTTGATGATTTTTCAAACCTTTGTCATATCTGTCCTGTGTCATGTCTTTTCTGGGCTGAAGGGTCCTATGTCCTTGTTTAGGAGCTGTTTGAAGCATACTGTGAACTACTTCTATTCATACCAAAGTCCCCCAGAGTTTGCGTTTATTAGCATAGCCGTTCAAAAGTCTCGCTTGGCACAGAGAGGGCTCTCTTTTGTGCTGAGTGAGATTCCCTCTATGCTTAGGGTGGAAGGGGCTGAGAACTTGTCATGAACTGTTCTGTTCTCGTTCCATGGTGGCCGTGGCCTCGGGTGGGGTATGTGAGGGGTGTTGATATTTGCCTGACTCTTGGCTGGACCATCGGTTCAGGTTCTGATGGCCCTCGACACTGACTTTGGGTAGTTTTATGACTTATGGATAATTATAGGCTCAATTTCCTGGTGATTTCTCAAGGTTTACAAGCTTGCTGCGCTTTAATTTCCTACCTAGCCAGGTTGTATACGAAAGCCTGTTTGTAACACAGGGTAATGCCAACATTACACGTTATCTCACACCGAAAAACTTTTAACGCTTCCTTCTCACCCACACACAAACTGGTTGTACTGTGCTTCTGCGCTCTCCTGCGCTGGTTGTGCCACTACGGCTCTTCCTGGTGAACGCAGGGAGGCTTGAGGCTGAGTGTTTGCTACCTGCCCCATGCGCCTCTCAGGAATGGGAGCAATTGGCCTATCCCTGCAAATACCTTTGTGGTATGAAAGGTATGTGGCATAAGCTTGTGGTGCAGCTGTGGTTTATGCCTTCTGTGGGTCATGTTGGTGTTGTTCAGTGAGGCTGCCAGTAGGAGGCAGCTTTTACCAGTTGCAGTAGTGAATAATATGAACCTGGACTTGGGTGTAAGCCCTTCACTTGATGGCTCTTCCTCTGCTGCGTTGTTCAGCCTAGAGTGCAGTGTTGCAAGACAGCTGTCAGTCATGTTTGCTAGTCACCAATTCACAGGAGGAAGCCTAGGTGTGCAGGAGCCGGTTAGGCCGCAGGGTAATTTCCAGTGGGTAAATATGGTGTGCTGCACTCAGATCTCCCTCTGTAGACAGGGGTGGTGGCAAGTTTCTGCCCAGAGGAGCCCAGCATTAAACCCTGAGAGGCCTCAAGCAGGACTGCTTTTTGCCTAGTCCTGTGTCTGATACTGCTTGAACTGTAAGTCACGCCAAGCTGCTTGCACAAGGAAGAGGTTAGCAAAGCCATTTCTCAGTTTTTGATCTGTTTCCTTTATATGGGCAGTTTCTCGCTTGCTGAAGTGACTTTTATAGACAGTGAGAAAGCAAAGAAAGGCTGATGTTCTTCAGAGAAGGGAATCTAAAAGGACAGTACCCAGGCACACTGTTTTATCAGGTACATCATCAGAAATGAGTGGGTTTTTTTTCAAGCAAACTCCAACAAATTCAAGTTGCGCCCTTTTGGCTTTATTTTTAGGGCCTCATGGAGTATTTGGGGACCAGCTGCCATCAGACTTGTGTGTAATCCTGTAGATAGGAGAAGACTTCCCTGTGAAATGCAGTCCAGCTCAACATTAGCAAGGCCTGGTTTGCCCTGCTCTGGCCTGTGAGTGGAGCTGAGTCTAAGAGAACAGAGGTTAGCTGTGCTTTTCAGATTTTTCCATCATCAAAGTTAAAAGCTTTATGACTGTATGTTTCTGATATTTCATTTTTTTAATTGTTTAGGATTTCAGCTTTTATGATAGGTATCATGAAATCATTCAAAGTCTCCTATCCTCATAGTTGCGTTTTCTGTCTTAGATGGTAGATGGTAGGCCCAACCTGGCAAGACATAGTCCAAATTCCTGCAGATGCCATATTTAGCCAAGCCTTCCCTTTCCCTCATATCTCTTTTCTGTACTCGTTAGCCTTTGATCTAACCGAAAGTGTCAAACCTTTTCAGACAATGTGGCTTTTAACAAAAGTGGACTGTCTCCTTTTAACAAGAGCGGAGTGAGCTGGGGTAAATCTCCACAGAGATGTAGATATGGAGCTGTGAAATTCACAGGTTAAATGATTCCAGATTTCTTACCCTTCCCCCTTTTTAATAGAGGAAATAAAGTTGCTATAAAATGGAGCCTTTTATCTAAAAGTCACTGAAGAGATCTTGCAAAGTCTCTTTTTTGCATTGGGCTCTCAGGGCATTGGGCAAGCAGCTTGAACAACGTTGATAAGGGGAAGAAGCAGCAGAGAAGACACAAAAACGGAAATTTGCCTATTTTGAAAGTAAAAGTAGGTTTTGGGGGGAAAAGTTAGTTTGGCTGGGCTGTTTTCAGGTTCCCAGTTATGGTGTTAAGCCGCTTTGCATCTTTGCCTGATGCTTGTTGTTATCCTCCTCTCCCTCAAGTCATGGCATTTGTTGGAAAGCAAGAAGTCAACCTGCTCTTTGAAGAGAGAGACTTTGATAAAGGGCATCTTTTTCAGAAAGATCTGCCTGAGTGAGCTGCTTCTCACTTGGGGAGCAGGGGGAAAAAGTTCTCCAGAAGCTACTGGTGAGCTCTGTAGAGCCTTGCTGAGCTATGCCAGGATAAAACCAGGCCATTTTTGTGCGTCGGTATCCCAGATTAAGTTCTGTGCAAAAGCATCTCTGCAGGTGGAGTGAATTGCCAGCGTGATGTTGTTTAGGGAAGGATTCTTGACTCTTAGATCCTAGAGCTAATTTGCAGGATTGAACTTAAAAAATTTAGCTATTTACTACAAGCACATTCTCCAAAATTCACTGAGAAGCACTCCTTGAGTGTCTTGCTCTTTGAAATTGTATTCCCAAGTAGGACTCTATTCAGAGGCGATTTCTTTAGCCATTTTCATAATGTCTTGCTAGTAATATAAGTGTTTCATTAAAGCTTTTGAGCTACCTCTGAGGTGCTCTGTGATTGTAGCATACTTCCGTTTCCCCTTTACCCTTCAGCCTCTCCTCCAGAGGCTGTGAGGTTTAATTTGTTCCTTAGGAAAGAGCTCTCAGATTCTGCAGTGGAAGATCCTGAAGAAGAGCAAAGAGTCACTGTCTCAAACTCAACCTGAAGTTTTCTTGTCACAGCCTGTCCTTATGTTGTCTGTCAATAGCTCAAATGGCTGTTGAGATATGTGCAGGCCTCTAGAAAGTTTACAGGTTGAAGCTTACAGCTCTTGTGATATGTAACATTTGAGTGAAAAAGGGAAAGTCCCAAGGCAGGGGCCAAGGCAACTGGGTGCCTGTTTCCACGGAGCTAAGGTGATGAGGCTGCTCAGGCTCTTAAACTTCACTGGCTGCCAGAGATCTGCAAGCTTCTTCCACAAGCTTCACCTGGATTTTTTGTAGCCTGATACATTCCCAGAAATCTGGAGCATTTGAAAGGGGGGTTGGATCTCTACTGAATTTTCATAAAACCTGTCTTCCAAAGACCTTGGGTATTGTGGGGCTAGAGTCATGGTTGATCTTTTTTATTTTCTTCTGCTCCTCTCCGCCCATCAGCACAACAGATGCAAACATTTCCAGTGCTGACCCTAAAAGAGAACCAGGGTGAAGAAGGAAGCTTCTTTTGGTCCTGTCCTTGGGGAGCCTGGCCCTATGCTGCTGCTATCCTGAGCAAAGTGCATAGAGAAGGAAGTGCAGTGGCCCAATGCATGCAAATAATGGAAAGAAGATGGAGGCTGGCTTAAAATAGAACTTTAGTGCTGAAAGGTCCTTTTTCTGATCAGTCGACTCAGCTCTCCTTTCTTGGTTACCAAGGTCTGTGTCCTGACAAATCATTTTGGGTGGCGGGTGTTAAAGAAGAAGCACCTTCTCAAAAGTCCAGTCTACTCCCTTTTCCTTTCCTGAGTTGTTCGGCTTGACTTTTTCTGGAAGATATTGGAGCCCAGCTGCTGAAGAAATGCTGTTCTGGATGAGTTGGGCCCAAGATTTGAAGTCATATCTAGTTTGCACGTAAGGACTTAGCTGTCAGGAGGCATCTTCTCAGCTGTGGACTCTGTAATCGTTGCTTCCAAAACAGCACCTGTGAGCTCCGGTTCTCAGTCTCTGTGCTGCAACAAAGAACACATCAATACAGCCTTTGAGTACGAAGTTTAACGTGCGGTTGTAAAGCCTGATTCAGTAGTATTAAGGCACGTCCCAGTTGTTGGCAGGTGAAGACCTGTGAAAACATAGAAGCCAGAGTGGATCTGACGCATTCCCAACTCAAAGGGATGGCTTATTTCAGGACCTGTTTAAGCATCTTGGCCAACCTGGTACTTTTCCTGCCACATCTTTCCATAGTCAGCTCTGCTCTCCAATAGCAGTGTGATGCTGATTTCCACCACTCCTTATCGCTTTCTTAATTTCACCTCATAGTGAGCCCAGTCTAACAAACTGCTCCTTCTTTCTGTGCCTTCTTGGAGCTACCACCTTTGGTTCCCCCCGCCCCTTCCTTTTGTTATTGTGTCTTAGCCAAGTCATTTAGTCTGCTTTTGTAAACCAGCCCTCCCTAAATGCTGTGACTGATTGTCTCTGGACTCCTTTTCAATCTGTCCACTAATTTTTGGACCACATCGGATGAAGAGTTCTACAAGTAGCTGCATTCAGAGGGACCAACCATAAGCACCTGGCTTCAAGATGTGATGTCCCACTCTCAGTTCCTTTGTCATTTATGTCTACTTCTACTATCAGTTTTCCCATCTCGGTGGCACTCAGCATCCCTGCTTGGGGCTTTTGTCTTGCCCGTGACTCTGTGGGATATTTCCAGCCTGATTTTTTTTCTTTTATTTCAGACTGAATTGAACTTTCCTGCCCTTGTTTCCTTTTCTTTATTTTGCAAGTTTCATGTTTTCAGTGCATTCCAATTCAGGCTTATTTATAACTTCCATCAGTGTGCTGTAACTTCCCTATCTGGCCAATTAATAAAGCTAAGAGTAATTGTAGCAGGTCCTTGTCAGCAGTCTCTGCATCTTCCCCTGCTTCCCTCCTGCCTAATAAGAAGTGCAGTTACTGCCCCTTGGTTTCTATTTTTTGTTGGCTCTCAGACGACATCTAAATCTGTGCAGCTTCTTAAGCTACTGAGACACTGTGTCTTACAGGCTCACTAGAACCTAATTGTCCCCAATGCAGAGCCCCCACCCCCCTTTTTTTAATAAAAATATCAGGTTTGCCTGAATTTTCTGAAGGTTAAGTCTTTGTACTGCTTAATACTTCTGGCTCCAGTAGCCACTAGTCTCACAGTAATTCCCTTCTTCCTGGTGTTTTAATTCAAGTTGACTGGATGGCAGTTCAGAGGGACGTTCTTTCCTCTTCTTTCAGCACTGGTATTGCATTCATTCCTCAAGTTGCTGGGTTTGGTACCTCCCAGTTTCCCTCAAAGAGAATTAGCAGCCTAGGAAGTTCACGGAAGTCTGGCAAACTGAAAGTGCGTCTTTGTCTTGTGTTTGTCCCCAGCAATTTGAGACCCAGCACCAAGCAGCTGATTGACCAATCTTTCTGTGGGAGAGACAAAAGGAGAGAGAGTTTATCTAGCAGGTGCACGTTGTCGGGAGACATGCAGTTAGCTGATTGCGATCGGGCATACGGCTGCTAAAGGTAGTGAGCTGCTCCACTCTTCTGAGAAAGTGGCTGGTCACTAAGTGACTGCTCTTTCTGCAGCTTGAGGGTGAGCATTTATGCATGCGAACTTGAAATTTGAGACCCCGACTTCGTATGTGCATGCAAAATACATGTCCTTTTGTCGAAAAAGAGCTGCTGTTGGTGGCAGGGAGAGCAGGCTTAATTACTTCCCAACGTCATAAAGGTGGAAATGGTAACCATTGCCACCTTGGGTTTTTGAAGTTCCCAGTTTACTAGGATGCCTTTGAGGATGAGTTGATGCCTTTTATCGGTCTGGCACTGCCCTCCCTGCTGGCAGTGGTGCTTGAAGCTTGTCTCTGCCATGAATCTAGGAGCAGAAATTCCAAGTGCTGGACCAAAACTGCTGTTCTGAAGCTGGACAGCCTCTGTCCAGGCAGATATCCTGGTCTCTTTGGCCTTGAGGCTGAAAGAGGTCACGTGTAACAGTGTGGAGGGAGAGCCACAGAGCTCCCCAGTGCTTTGTTTAGGTGTGGGCAGGAACTCCTCAGCTTTCCTTTCCCCAAGCAAAAACCTCTGCAAATCTCTCTCCGAAAGGACATGTGCAGTGTCGCCCTGCTTTGTTTGCATGCCAAAAGCAGATGTTTCCTGCACGTTCTCCCTATTTTTTGCAACGCTTCATCTCTTTGGCCTGATCTGCACTAGCTTTGTCTCCCAGACGTTTCCGCTCTTGGTCCTGGTTGAAGCAAGGGCTGGCTTAGATGAGAGGTTTGGTTTACAGAGGTGTCAGTGGGAGTTAAATCCCTCAGTCTCTTGAGATCAGGCCTAGATTTTTTGGCAGCCACTAGCATCTTAACCAGTATGTCACCTGACTGGGAGAGTCCTTTCCGGGACTCAGAGTCTAGCAGCTGGGACTCTGCTGGTGCTCCCACCTGCAGTGAACTTGCCTTGATCTATATCAGAGGGCAAACGGGGCTCCAGTGCAAGGTGAACATCAGCAGCTAACGTGAACGTGAAGCAGTGCACGTTGGGCCAGGGGATGATGAAGCTGTTGAGAACGGACTGTCTGCTCACAGTCCATACTCAGGGCATTCCTCCCTACTTGGGACGAAGACATGAAATAGTTTACCTTGCTTCCTTGTGGGGTAAGGAGGAATATAGTGCATAATTACACTTCAAGATGATTCTCAGGATACCTGTTAACATCTCAGTTTTCAGCCTCACTATGAACGAACAGAGCCAGAGCATCCCTGAAAAGCAGGGAGTGATTTGAGCCTGGGGAGGAGGGGCTTGGGCCCTCCTGTTACAAACTAAAAGGCTTTGGCTTAAATCAGCTGTCTGGGGTTGGCCTAAGAATGCATGTGGAGCTTGGCTTTGGGGTTGCAGCTTGCAAAGCTGTGATGAGTAGGCGTCTTTTCATTGTGTGCCTGAACCCACTGTATGGTCTGATGGCAATTGGTGACCAGGGCTTGACTTAGAAGCAAGTCCACACTAAGGATCAGTAAACCTTCGTGTTCCTTTGGTGCCAGGAATATGATAGCGCCTCCGTGATGCAGATCAAGGATAACAGTTTCCATGCAACATCTGGTCCTCTGTTTAGCTGCTGGGGGCTCTCATGGTGGCTTAGCCCAAGATCAGTATTGTGAGGGGCTTCACATCGGCCTTCCTGCGTTTTTATTTTCCTGGGGAGGAAGGAGAGTGTTGCTTTGGGAGAGGCTTAAACTTCACACGCTCTGGAAGGGAGTAGCAGAGTATCTCACAGTTTCCTCCCACTGTCTTGAACCTGCTTCTCAGGAGCTGTGACCCAGGCAGAGCGGTGACGAGGTGTGTAGTAGACTGGACGAGGGTGCCTGCCTGTGCCTGTCCAGCACTCACAGAAAAACGATCACCTGGGACTGTGCAGGGGTCTGTCCTGTTGCCTCAGTGGGACTGAGACAGAGGGGAGAGGAAAGTACAGTAGGCAGAGGGTTTGACTTCTTTTTCCAGTGGCTCTGAATTTCTTTAAAATATTTCAGCTGCAGAAAGCTGAAGTTTTATTTGTGCAGCAGTGAAATGAGTAGAGATACCTTGCTGAGCCCTCTGTGGTCAGAGCCTCTGCACAGCAGAGCGGGCTGATGCTTTAGCTAGCTAACGGCAAGCCCAGGCCTTAGAAGTGATCAGCGTAAGCAGTCATGTTTGCTGTGCTTCCCAGCCATGATTTCTGCTGCTCCTGACCCATCTCTTGATCGCTGCTGGGCCTTGGTTGGGTTGCTCATCCTTCTCTCTATCCCTGCAAGATGGAGCCTTGTGAAGCGCAGGTGGGAAAGGCAAGATCAGCAGTGGTTGCGTTGGTAATGTTTAGCCTCGTGGCCGTTTTTTCACAGAGACGAAGCTTCTGGCTTCTGTTACCTGAACGATGCTGTCTTGGGGATCCTGCGGCTGCGCCAGAAGTTTGACCGCATCCTTTATATCGACTTGGATTTGCATCATGGGGATGGTAAGGCCCAGTGCAGGCTGCAAGCAGCACAGCAGCACGACTGTGAGGGAGAAGCGGCAGAGATGAAGGCCTGTTGGTGCAGTAGAGCTTACCTGCTGCAACAGTAGTGGCTTTGTCTCCTTTCATTGTAGTCAGATTCCCTCAATCCACTTCTGCCTTGCCCTGGCATCGTGCCACTCATCGACTTGGTGTTATTAAAATACACTACCCTCTCATGGGGTTCTTCTGGGCAGCAGTCTTGTATCTAAAGTGACAAACTACGTTAACAAAAGTGTTCTAATCCTCTCTGTTAGAGGCTTTCCAAGCAAGAGGACCTCCCCCAGCCCCTTGTCTCCCATCCCAGAAGAACAGCCAGTGATGATGTTTAATTGTTTAATGTCACCAGTGCAGGACTGCAAGAGGGAAGCAGTCAGTAATAAATGATGGTTTTAAAAGAAGGCTTGATGCTATAAAACTAAAGCCAGAATGGGCCTTGCTGAAGCTGCTCTTTGCTTCAGGGACATTATTTCAACACCATTTAACATTTCCTGCTTTCCTAACTTTTATGGTGTGTTTCATTTTGCTCCGTTTTCCCCCCACATTTGGTTTCTGTTAAGTTCTGCTGTTATTTCTTTTCCTCTCCTCACCCCCGCTATTTTAATATGTCTTTTAGGAAAAAAAAATGTGTTGAATTGCAGCAGTGCTGAGAATGAGCAAGAGAGCCCCGTAGCTCTGGTTCTAATCAGAGCGAAGCCCTGGCCGAGGCATCCTTCCTCAGCTCCCTCCCCCAGCCTTCCAGGCCAAGCAGTGCAGCCTGGTGCTGCTAACGTGGGCACTGGCCTGAGGTGTTGCAATCCATTCAGTAATGATTAGCGTGAGACCAGCCAAATTCATTTCGGTTGTGACCTTTGCTGCATCTCAGTTCAGGTCTCCGTTTATTAAGGATAGATTTATTGAGCCACATCTGGTTTTCTGTTTCATTAGTTCCGTTCCTGTTCCGCTCGCTGCCCTTTGTTTGTTGAGTGGCTCATTTGTGTGTTTGGACTCTGTCACTTATGTGAAATATCCGTGAAAGTTTTTTCTCATCCCTCTTTTGACAGGTGTTGAAGATGCCTTTAGTTTCACCTCGAAAGTCATGACTGTTTCTCTGCACAAGTTTTCACCAGGATTCTTCCCAGGCAAGTTGAACTTGTGAGGTTTGTGTTAATTCAGTTTGCACGCTACTGACAAGGCCCCAGCACAGGCAGCTCTCCTCCCTTCAGTTCAGCAGAGGTTTCTCACTGCCTGCCTGTCTGCCTAAGTGCCTCTCCTGTTGACCCAGGAGAAGGAAAAAAGGGAGGAACTGCATGTTTGGGCTAATCTCTGGCAGAGCCACTACTGGGCTGCCACCTTCCATTGAACATGTGTAATGTCAAGTAGCTGAGGTGAGAGATTGGCACTGGTTTTACATCAGTTCTCCGAGGGAACTGTGGGAGAGTATGTGTGCCTGAGGGTGCAGCAAGAGGTTGGAGTAAACTGATAAAACAAGAGGGAAAGGTGTGTTTCCCCCTTTTACCAAGGGGAGCTAAGATTAAGTGACTTGTCCAAGGACATCAGGCAGAGGTAGGGCCCGAACCTTGAGTCCTGGTCTATCCCTTAACCATAGGACCATCTTTTGCTCTTAAAAAAACAATGGTCTGTGAACTCTCCCAGCTGGATGGTTCATGCCCAGAAGTCCAGGAGTCCCTTCTGGGTTGCCTTCTATTTCCCCAGAGGTGCCACAATCCATTTCCTGTGGCAGCATTTCTGTGGCTGATGTAGTTTCTGCCGTCAAACAGGGGCTCCCTTGAATGTGAGAGCCTGCAGGACTTGAAAGCTTTGTTATAGGATGGGGTGGACCACTAGAGCGAGGTGTATCAAAACCCTTCTTTATTGGAGATGGTAAGTGGACTTCTCCACAGGCGTGCCAGGCTCTGGCTCTCTGTTCCTGTGTGAGACATCCCATAGCTCTTTCTCTTGTTGCTGATCTGCTTTCCGTCTGAACTAACTGTTGGGCATTTCTGTTGTTCAGGCACTGGTGACGTGACAGATGTTGGCCTGGGGAAAGGTCGCTATTACAGCGTGAACGTGCCTATTCAAGATGGCATTCAGGATGAGAAGTATTACCAGATCTGTGAAACGTAAGCCCTCTTGCTCTGGCGCGGTTTGTTTTCATGGGATTTTAGAGAACAGAGACTGCACAGATTTATTTATTTATTTACTGTTTTAATTAAAATCCTTCCTGTAGATTAAGATTTGTCCTTTCCTCTGCTACAGTTTTTGATTACAATGAACACGGATAATCTCCAGACATCTCAGAGATCTTGCCCAAATCCTTGGGCAAACTGAATATACAGAGGCCTTTGTCGTGAGTGGGAGGGTCTCTTTGCCATGGGTCAGCCTTGTGTGTTTAAGGACGGATTGAAAAGGGAAATGTACTCTTCAGCCACAGACATTTGGCTGAACGCTTTTTTTCTTAAAATAAATGCTCTGAACTCCTGAACATCCATGAGAGACATGCTTGGGGCTGAGCTAAAAGTGTTTTCATAGCACCTTTTGTCTACCCTGGAAGAATGAAAGGCTGGAGCCGTTCCTGTCAGTGATAGAACTGCCTCCTGGCAGGCCCCTCCATCACGTGATGGGTGACGTACCTCACAAGCTGTTGTCCCTGCTGAAGCTGAACTGCTGGGCTTGTTCTTTTCTAAGGGAGACTAACCTTAGCTGAGGACTGCAGGACATGGTAGCATATCCATCTCTTAGCTGTAACATCTGAGGGCTAACACCTATCAGGATTTGTAGCCTGGTAGGGCAGTCACACTGTGGCCGTGCCTCCTGCTATCTTGTTGATTGCCACTGCTGGTGGTATGGCAGCCCTCTTCCTGCTGGGAGTTGTGTTTCCAAAAGGCAGGGCAGCTTTAGGAGCCAAAGAGGGAATTAGGATCCAAGTCAGAGCTAGCCTGTTGCAGACATTCCCAGTTGAAGGACATCAAAACCCACCACAGGTTTCAAGCTACATATAAACAAAGCATCTAAAAGGAAATTCTGAGCTCTCATGGGCAAACGGGAGGAGTTCTGTCCTGGCCAGGAGATAGTCATCTACGTGATCATGGGTATCTCATCCAGCTGATGTCAGAGGATAATCACAGGCTCAAATTGCCCATGCTTTCCAAAGCTGTGGTGGGACTGGAGCTGCTGACTTCCTCTGACACGTGTCTCTGTAGGCCGATTACACCCTGCACAGAGCATTTCCTTGTATTCTTCTCCTCAGTGTCCCCTGCTGGTGAGAGAAGACCTGCTCCTTGGCAGGCCTTTCCTCTTTGTGGAGGTGCTGCCAGCTCAGGCATTCCCAGAACAAAAAGCCAGGGAAACATTATGCAAAACCATCTCATCTCCCTGTGTCTTGGGGACAACTGCTTCCCTTGTCTCTATGGAGACTTACCCGCTGCAGCACAATGGTATAAATAAATAAAGAGAAAGTTTGCTCTTGGAGCCTTTGAGCATGTGCACTTTGAACTTGCCTCTCCATAAATTACGCTGCTTGTGTTTGATTGCTTTTGTTGTAGTAGATAAACTCCTATCCTGCTTCTGGGTGGTATGGCACATGGATAATTACCTATTGTTTCTGGAAATTGAATGACTCGGGCTCCAATTAAAATACGTTGTTAATAATAGCTGCTGTGTGGAAGAGGGGCAGAGTGTGACATTTATTTTTTCTTGAAAGTCTGACATATCTTTAAAAGTTTGAAGACAAAGGCAACCAGAGATGCAAAGCTTCCGAGCTGCAGTGAGATTGACAGCACCAGAGCTGGATGCTGAGCTGCTGCGGTTTGCAACAATCGTAACTTGTGCGGAGATGTATCCAAGGCATGTTTCCGCTCACAGCCCTCTGGGAACCTAGCTGCTTACATAGCCTCTCCATGAAAAGGAAAGTTATGAGGGGTCTGGCTAATCATAAGAGCATCCAGAATAGCTAACTTGTTTGATCACCTTCCAAAAATGCCCAAATTAATGAATCAAATCAGTTCTGAGAGTATGTCAGTATATTTACCTGGAATCTAAATATTAATCTTTTGAAGCTCAAAAGAAAAAAAGGTGCAGCATGTGAGAAACATTACAAGCACAGAAAACTAAACTAAGAAATAATCCAGAGAAATTCAAACACATTATCTATATTCAAAAGACATGGAGAAATCTGAGTTATTTTAAATTACCATAGTGCTTCATGTTGCAAACTTGCACTTAATTAAACCAGGAAGAGATATTTAATCATCTATTTCTCTTCTAGTTCTCTCAATAATGTTAAAAAAAAATCCGAGTGGTGTTTGCTTGTGTCGTTATAAATGATGCAGGCCCACTGCGTTAATGCTGTGCACAGGCACATGGATATCATGGGGATTCTACGTTAGCCAGGCCAGGCTGAGCTGTATGACAAAGATCTGCTTATCTGGAAGTTGTGCCCATTATTTCAGTGGAGAAGCCAGATAGTAACGTAAGTCACTGTCAAAGAAAGCAGGCAAAATCTTTATAGCACCAATACTTTGGCATGCCTTTCATGTGATCAAGAAAGAAGATACTATTTCTGTATTTACAGTGTGTTATTAATAGTTACACAGCGAAGAAAGAGTGGTTGAGGTGGGATGTGTTGTAATGCAGCAGCCAGAGGCCAGTTGTCTTGGTTCCTTTGGGCTCTGTTTCTGAAGGTGATCATGAAGCCTTTCATGACTGCCTGGTGTAAGATGATGGAATGGGTATCTCGTCTTTTTGCCTGCAGTGAGGCTGGTTGCTCTCAGAGACACAATGTAGGACTAGCAGGGCCAGTTCCTCCTTGTCTATCTGATGTGCTGTTTCCAGTTCTGCAGGCTTTTGGTGAGAGGGAAAAGTAATACTTTGTTTTAAATTCTTTAAAAGCTAAGCAAGGGCTTTCAACCTCTGTATGTGGGCATCTACGGTGTCCTAGTGGCAACATGGATCTCTGTAGATCCAATTTCAGTCTCCTGAAAGGTGGCTGACTTTCTTTCAGTGCCTCTTGTGAATCCCGTAGATGAGCCTCAGGCTGGAAGTCCCAGGCTTGACTTTTTGAAGCATAGGTTTCCCACTTGCAGGAATAGGGCTAGAAGCAGAGACTGTGTTGTTGCTTAGGAAACTTCAGTACCCCTTTCACAGTACCACTAACTGCCTGTTACTATCTGTGATGGGTCAAGGGTGCCTACTGCCTCGTCCTTCCACACATTTCAGCGTTAGGGAGGATGTCAGCAGAGAGGCAGGTAACCTCTTTCCAGCGGAGCATGGGTCTAATGCAGTCAGCGACAGGGGGAAGTGGGGCCAGAAACTCAGCTGCAGGTAAAACATATGAAATGCACAAGAAAATGCAATTATTGTGTGCCTGTGTCATACATCTAGTGGGGATCTTTCACATAGTACAGGGTATATAAACTGAGCCTCCTGGGGAGAGACTGCTCCCTCCAGGTGTGGGGTGCAGAAGGCTTCAAAAGCATCATGTGGCCTACAAAACAGGGCTTGCATGTCTCAGAGGCAGTGCTAGCTTGTGAAAAGCTGCCTTTCCCTTGTGCCCCTCCAGCTTTCTTTCCTCACTAGCCCTACAGTGGCCAGGTCTGTTTTATCTTTCCTCTTCCCAGTTCTCTTAAGTTTTGGAGTGCTGGAAACCTCTGAGTGCAGGTGGCAAGTGCCCAGCCTGGGCCCTGCGTGTTGGTAGGCAGCCAGCAGCAATGTACTGGGTGTGTTCCCTGGGATGCACATAAAATAGCAAAAAGGGGAAGCTGGACTAAAAACAAACTGTCAATTTTTGAAGGAGTAATGTTGGGAACAGGCCAGAGCTGTCCCTGATGCTTCTATGGAGAAGAATATTCAGGGAAAGATTCAGCATGGCTGCTTCTCTCATAACGGGGTATCCAGCTGCATGCTTGGCCTATTTTAAATGCTGAGCATGCTAATTTTTCCAGTAATTGACCTTAGACTATGACCAGCAATAACTCCGGACTGAGACCATTGGTGCCTATGGAATGGGAATGGAAATGCTGTAATTATAAGGGATTGGTTCTGGATCTGACTATTGGGTATAGGCACTGAGCAGTACAGATCCCAGAAAGACTATGTTAATTTGGAGGCTGTGAGGATTAGGAACTTGGCTTGACCACTGGGTTTGGGATCTGCTTGGAAGGGACCAGACTTCAGCTTCCTATGCTATAAGGGCTGAATGCACCAAGGGACAGGCAACGAATGCAAGACCTAGCCCACCATCTGGACTTCATTGGCTTGATCTGGTTTGCATTATGGAGGAGAGCATAGATCCTAAATGCACCTCCAGACGCTGAACATTTAAAATACATATAGTCCTGCAAACCTAAGCGCTGCAGAAAGTTCACATTCTGAGCTTGTCAAGGTTTGGGATGAAATTTTGAAACTTAGGCTGAGAATCCAGATCAAGGCTTTCTTTCGAACAGCTCCCGAGTCTCAGCTTTGTAAAAAGGTCCCGTTTAACCCATTGGATCATGTTTTTTTCCAAGTGCCTGTGCTGGCAGGCTGTATACATGTGGTGGGTTCAGGCGCAACCAGCAGGTCAAATCTGCGTTCCAGTGGTGGAAATGAGGCTGGCTCAGTCACAGAATTACAGAATGGTTGAAGTTGGAAGGGACCTTTAGAGATCATCTGGTCCAAACCCTCTGCTCAAGCGGGTTTGCTCACCTAGAGCAGGCTGCCCATGACCATGTCCAGACGGCTTTTGAATATCTCCAAGGATGGAAAGCCCACGACCTCTCTGGGCAACTTGTTCCAGGGTGTTCAGTCACCCTATATATCCAAGTAGATTAAAGGTCTCCAATTTGGGGGGGCTCTTTCTTATTCTTCCAGGCTGCCAACTATCTCCTGACAGTAAGAGGAAACGTTGAGCAGCAGTGGTCCTCTTCCAGTGGCAGTCCCACTGAGGCTGTGACATTTTGACTGCCATTCTGGGTTTGCTTGAGAAATTGCAGAAGCCTATTTTCTTCCATCCTCCCCATCGGCTGTTGAGTCTTTCAGCTGTTCTTCTGACCTCTCTGTGGCTAACAAAAGGCTACTTCTCTGTCAGCCACTACCTGTTTTCTTTGAGGGCTCAAGGGAAGGGGGAGTGAATTGGATGCTGGTGAAAGACAAGTCTTGGAGCGTTCTGGAAACTGGCAGCATCTGTTCATCTCCACTACAAGGACAGGCAATGCAGCCCAGCCTTTGCACGCTGCGCTGGCTGGGCCAGAGAGGAACTGATGTCGTCACCTTGTCTTTGTGGCCCTGCATTGCTCATGCGACTTCCCTGAATTAATTCCTGTTAGAAGAGGGGCAGAACATCCCCTTTGCAAGTGTGTCGACTGAATACGCTTTATCATGATCTGAACCAACTGGTTATAGTACAGTCAGTGTTGTGCTGCCTAACTTGATGGCTTAAGCATGGCTATGAACAGACCCCATCGTGGTGTGCAGACCAGCAGAAGTCATCGGACTTCCTAAAAGGGCAGATGTGTTTGTCCTTGGTTGGACAAACCAAGGACCTGGGTTGTGCAGGAGTCCCGGTTGCACAGTTCTTTTCTGGCTGTGCAGTTCCCTGGTGGCGGTGACAGAGGAGAGCAGGCAGGGGACACACCATCCCACTGGAGGTAGCTGTCACAGGTCAAAGGTTATTGCACCCACAGCTCAGAAGACGCGAATGATCTTTGCCATGCTCCTGATGCGTTTTGATGCAAAGTCAGTTGCTGTAGCTGGATTTAGAGTCTTGACTTTGCATGGAGGTGCATCAGGAATTTCCTGTTCGATTCCTTCTGACATCTTGGTTTTTAGGGACAACCGCACGCATCTAAGCTTCCCTGTGCTGAACCAGCGACAGCTAGACCAGGAAGGGCTTATATAAGGTAACTATACCCTGAGGCTGACTACGTGTCCTGTTTTAGATGCTTGAATGTGTTTTCCTGGATAGGCACGGAGCTCTGACAGCATGAATGAGTTGATCTTGCTGAGGGATGCTGACAGAAGTGGAGGAAGAGTCTCATTTCCCCCTCCTTGCATTTGGCTGCCCACTGCTTTCCCCTCTTTCTCCTGGGCTGACCTTGCAATGAACCAGTTCAGGGAGTCAATCCAGCAGAAAACTAACCCTGATGGGCAGCTTTCTACTAGTTCAGCTCTCAGACTGCTCACTGGGGGATCAGAGCTGCTCCAGCGTAAGCACAGGGAAGGGGATGGGAAGGATGGGTGGAAGGGACTGCCCTGCCAGTGCACCATCAGTTTAGCTTTCTTTCAGCTCAAACTTGTAGTCTGCATGCATGCGAGTGTCTGTCAGCATTTGGAAGGAGCTGAGACTGCAGAGAAGCCCTTCTGCTGGCTTCTCAAAACACCAGAAAGAGTTACTCTCTTCCTGAGCACAGTGCAGAGTGAGAAGGGGACTGAGCATCTTCATGCGTTAATGGAGATGCCAGGAGTTACAGGCAAATGCACGTCAGGGAGATTTTTATCATTTAGGTAATATCTGCAAGGTTCTTTGAAAATAAAAAGCCCTGGGAGAGAGCAAGCTTTGTTTAAAACTCTTCACGCAGCCAACAAAAACCTGCAGGGATATGCTGAAAGATGATTCTCTGTCCTCGCTGGGAGATTGTGCTGCGAAATAGTAGGAAGCCTTGGCTCAAGGCTTAGTTCAGAGTGGCTGGAAACAATTTGTATGTTCCCCAAAAGAAACTCATTTGGGCATAATTGTAGGAGTCATGCGGTAGCAATCGCATTTTGGTGGAAGTGGCTGTCCTTGCGCAGTAAGAGAACAGCCACATCAGTGAGGGGGCTGCACAAGCAGGAGACTCCCCGGGCTTTTCTACTGAGAGGTGAACATCCCACTGTCCATGTTGTTTCATGTGCGTCTGCCCTTTTCTGGTTGATCTTTGAAAAATGTAGAGCAACTTCAGGAAAGAACAAAATAGTTGAGTTGGCCAGTGTCTGATGCCTGCCTGGCAAAAGTGGAGAATCATGTCAGAGGGGGATGGGGAAACGGGGTCCCAAAGACAGCCCGTGGGAGCTATGCTTGCAGAGGGTCTGATTGCAGGCTATGAAAGCCCTCAGCAGCAGGAGGAAATGTCAAGAATCCCTTGAAGGAAACCAGTTCAGTCCACCTTACTCCGAGAAAGAGTAATACAACGTGGGCCTTGTGGTGGGAGGGCTATGTGGGCAGAAGGGGAAACCCAGCACACACCCCTTGCTTGTATGCAAACACTGACATCAACTTCCCAGTGGGGATTTATCTGTTTTCACAACCCTGCACTATCTTTGGTTGGTAGGGCATCATGTGGGTATATTTGTTTCTTCTCCAGCTGTTAATGATTCCTGTGGTTCCTCACAGTTGCCATAAATGAAGCCTATACAGTGTAGCATGGCCTTGTGCTCTTAAGTGCGGGTTGAATTTTTCCCAGAGGTGCCTATATTTCAGTGGTTAGAGCAGCCCTTAATTTGTGGTGCTTGTGGAGCTGGTGGCCTTAACCCTGCAGTCGTCTGCCTTCACAGATTGCATTACGCTCAGCGGGGTTCCTTGGCTAGGTGAAGTGACTTGAGACGTTGCCTGGGGTGAATGCTGTGTAAATGCAAGCTCATCGTCATCGGGAAGGAGCTCTGCTGTTTTGACACCGGACTGGTTTATAATTGCATATCAAATGAGATCTGGAGATACTTAGATTCTCTGTTTTCCTCTCTTAGCCAAGGCAGAAGCATTTATTCCAGGGATCGCGTCTGTTTATACTTTAGGAAAATAAAAACACTGCTGAGAAAGGAACATCCCTTGTTTTTCTCCCTTGTTTGCCCTGTGTTTTGTGCTAGGGAGCACAGTGTTGGGAACAGGATTATTCCCTTTGTGTTCCTCTTAATACGAAAAATCTGCAGTGAAGCCAAATGCATGACACGTCCAACTGCCTTCTCCAAGAGAGAACGTTTGTAATAACAAATGATCAACAGGATGCCATCCCTGCCGCACTCCAGCATCTGCTAGATCCTCAGGGAAATGGGTTTCTGCCTTAAGAGCCACATGGGAGAGAGTAGAGTGAGAACCGGGACAGAGTCCTCCTCTGCTCGTCCTGTCCTTGTGAGAGATGTTTGACAGTTTAGGAGTGTTTTTTCACTCCTCATTTTGACTTTGCCAGGAAGGAATGCCCCTGGGTTCCAGGCCTTCTGCTCAGAGCGGCTGATGTTGTAAAATGTGTGGTTTGATGTTCCAGCTAAAGCTGGTTTAGGGCTCGATCCCTCTGTCCTCTGTTCTTGGCCTTGCTTTTGCATTCATCAGTCCTGTCAGCCCTGGGATGAGCTCTTTCAGAGGGCTAAACTAACTCCATGGTAGAAAGTAATGGAGCGGGAGGCTTAACTGGGAACAGAAGGAGTATGACTGGTGTGAAGGGCATGGAAGAACATAGCCGAGGGTGGGGAGCGAAGGCAGCATTCTGGCAGGGCAACTTAGATTTGCTTAAACCATTGTGCAGCCTCACGTGAGTTTCCACTGGGAGCTCTGAAAAATGTCAGACACACAGTTATGCCAGGATCTGGAAAAAGGTAGTTTGGTTCGGTAGATTAGGTGGAGGCAAGCTCTGTGGGGGATTTGCTTTGACGTGACAAGTCTGGGGTAGAAAATGCTGACTCTCAGGAAATCCTGAGAGGTATCAATGACTTTCAGGGAGTAGGACTTTGCAGGGAAAGGACAGGCTTCCCTAGGCCAGCTCTGATCCTACAGCGTCTGATTAAAGCTTTGGTCCCTAGCTCTGCGTAGTGATAGAAAGCCAGCTCTTTGAGATCTTGTCTCAGGAAGCCACAAGCTATTTTTTAAAGTATTATTTTCACTTTACTTTTGGGTGTTACAATAACTGTTGGCAAGAAGGCAAAGAAGTCTTTTTTGTGGGCCAGTTAGGGTCTGGGGATATGTGGGAAGGCCCTGGCTTGGACTCAGTGCTTCTGTATGGCTTTTAAAGCTGCCAATGTGCAGTGTGTGTGAAATGTTCAGCCGTGTGACAGCCAGAGCAACCCCCGTCCTGGCATTTTGGGAGGTGGGCAGGTTCTGTCCATCTCAGAACTGAGCAGAAAGGCAGAATCCTGCAGTGCTGCTGACTACAACAGCATCCCTTGCAAACTTGTGTTTGTGGTAAACCCCATCACTTCTTTCCGCAGTGTGCTGAAGGAGGTGTATGCTGCATTCAATCCAGATGCAGTTGTGCTGCAGCTAGGGGCAGACATAATAGCTGGAGATCCGATGTGCTCTTTTAACATGACGCCCGAGGGAGTGGGCAAGTGCCTGAAGTATGTTCTGCAGTGGCAACTGGCAACTCTCATCCTGGGAGGAGGTGAGTATGCACATGTGCTGTTTATAAAGTAACAGATTTGTCCTCTTGCGACCGTTCCTCAGGAGTATGCCTTTGGGCTCAAAAGCCACTTGAGTTTAGAAGGGCATATGGGTATTGTGAGGAGGGCACTGTATAGCTGGTAGAGTGTTGTTTTTACACAGACATGAAATTCTTGATATCAGCATGTCCAAGTGTCAATCCTGACCCCCAGATCCTGAGGTAAAGGTTACTTGGCTCCTCCTGAGGAGAGCAGAGTCTTTTAACCCCAGTGAACTCTGACCCTGGCTTCTCAATGCCATCTTTGAGTAACAGCTCTGCTGATCGGCCCTGCAGGGCTTCTCTTCAAAAGTGAGCGCCGTGTTCCCAAACCTACTTTGGGCATCTGGCAGTGAATGATCTCTTTTGGATTCAAGCAGGGGCTTGGGAAACGGATTGCCTGCCTGCATGGTATAGCAGGACTCTTGATACCCAGTGACAGCTAAGTTTGACTTGCCTCTGCTGTGCTATGTTACCAGCTCCTTGTCCAGTGGGGAGAGCACAGTACAGGCCTCTTGCAACAGAGCGTTTCAGAACAAGAAAAAGCGCTCTGTGTCCGGCAGAGCCTCCCAGCTCTGTGCCTGAAGCCTCATCAATTCCAGCTGTTGTCCTTTTCGGGAAGGGGGAGATCAGATATAGTACATGAAGCCTAAAATTCAGTGTGCCTGGTACAAACTATTCTGGAAACATTTCAAGTGTTCGGTCCTTTTGTGACTGTCTGTGTGTGTTGGGGAAGACACCTTTCAAACAAAAAGAAACCCCAAGACTTTTGCCAAGAAATGAGAGAAAACTATTTCTCATGGTGAAAACAACAAAGGAGTGTCCCACCACCGCAGCTTGCAGAGGCATTTGAACTGGCAGCTGGGGGATGGAGTCAGTACTTGCCGAAACACAAAGGGAGGAGAAGGTTGAAAAATATGGTGTCTCTCTCTTTTCAGAGTGGTTTTCTCTCTTATTTAAGTCTACGCTGCTGGAAAAAACTCTTTGAGAGTCTCTTGCAGGATTGTTTTAAGCTAAGGTTCCTCCTTGTGAGGACATGCCCAGTTTTGACCATTACCATATTCACTATGAGACCTCATTTACTGGTAAAGCAGTCACAAGTTGAACTAATTAGCTTCATGTTTGTCCTCTCAAACATGTAATTAGCTTCATATTTGTCCTCTCAAACATGGTAGTGCTGGAGAGCCCAGCAACAAATGGTTGAGCTTGCACATCATTCTTCGTTGGTCAAAGGCTGGCATTAAAACAGTAATCTCTAGTCTCCACTGCTCCCCTTGCACTCCTTTGCTACATGTGAACACTCTTCCTCATCACCAGAAGAGAGCTCAGCACATGGAGCTAAGGGCTCGAGCCAGGTCTGGAAGAGTCTGTCTCCTGGCCTGTGCCATAACTGGAATGACCTGTGGTTCAGTTCCGGAGGTATGCCCCTTTCATACAGGACCATTTGGATTTGACCTTGTGTAGCCAGCAGGAGCAAAATACAGTTATTGTGCATGGCTCGAGTGAGTGAAATAGGAAGCGAACTGCTAGTGAAACCTCCACGGTTTGTTCCTTCTAGTAAAATCTCTCCCTCTCTCATCCTCTCTTTCCTTTCCCCCGTCCTCCCCTTCCAAAATCTCAATTCTTGCTGGAGACAGGAGGCTATAACCTTGCCAACACAGCTCGTTGCTGGACATACTTGACTGGGGTCATCCTTGGGAGAACGCTGTCCTCTGAGATCCCCGATCATGAGGTAAGGCTTTGACAAACCCTCCCTTCTGCTTGTGAGAGAGCTGAGTCATGCCACCTAATCTGAACCGCGTCCTAGCTGTTCAATACTGTTTTGTTGAGAGACACTCCTGTAACAATAACACACTGTCCCAGCAGCATAGTGGGTGCTTGTTTCCAAAACCCGAGATTGTCTGCGTCTTTTTGCAAGGCGTCTCAGAAACCAATCAACTTCAGAGTCTCAGATAATTACAGAGAGGATGGGAGCGGGGGGTGTCACCTGCTTACTCAAAGAGCTCTTTAGGATGTACACATACTTTTACAAGGAGAGAGCCAGACCTTTCTCAAAGCTTTAAATTTTAGCCCTGCTTTCATCAACTTAGAGAAAGTACCAGGTGCAACTTTCAAACTGTACTGACCAGCAGTCTTCCAAAGGGCCATGGGGCAAAGAGCTGTTTACATTCATATATGAGGTGTCTCAAAAGGCTCAGTTCTAGTGTTGATGTTCTTATAGTTTTGAGCAGGGCTAGATGACCAGTTGGAAGGACACAATCTAGACTGAATTTGGTTGGGATAACTATAGTTTCATAATTGTTTCTCCCCGAGAACGTGGTACTGCTCTTTGCTTCCCAAATTACAGATCCATGTTATTGGATCTGTACAAAAACAGACCTGCCGCACGCAAAGCAGTTCAAACCTATAGTGACTGCAGAGGAGAATAATATTTTGCCTTTGAGGCTCTCATAGACCAGTATGCATAAGGAATTTAAGTGTGTATATGGATTTAAACTGGAAATGTATCATCATAAAAATTGATGATTACAGATAAAAGGCCCTTTTTGAGAGGTGTCCTGCTTAAATATGATCCTTTAATCAGATACCAACAGAAGGAGGATCCAAACTGGAATCAGAGAATCTTTCATAGAGGTAGGAAGCCCGAAGGGTGGGTCCCTCTGTAGGAATTAACTGCCGGAGATGTTTAGACTTGGCCTTTTTGTTGTTCATCTGACAGTTTATTTGTCATATTAATGATCCCTGCACAGAGTGCCCTGAAGGATAAGAGCAGTGTGGAAATGAATTGGTTGCAGGATGTCACAAGGTGCACAATGGGGTTCTGTGTGTTCTGCCTGCTGTATCCCGTTCCAGGAAGGCCAGAGGTTAGCCTGCAGAGCTGAACTGGCTGTGAGTTCTGACGCTGATGGTGGCCGCCCTGATCAGGTTCCCCTTGCAGCGAGCAGTGCTTGTGATTTTGTTGTAGGAGTTGGGATGAGCTGTTCTGGGTTCAGCCTCCTGTAGGAGCATTTTTCCGGAGACCAACTCAGACTATCTGTTGGATCCATGGCGCAGCACTTGGAGAGGCTGGGAGGGAGGGAGGGGAACTAAGTGCTGCGCTGCATGAAGCTGTCTCCAAGTGCTTGTCGTTCCCTCTTGAGCGTCGGTAGGGGAATTTTTGTGGCAAGCTCAGAAAATCCAGTGCCTGCCAGAAGCAAGTGCATCTTGACTCCGGCACCACAGAAAGGATTTAGTACGAATCATCTCTAGGGTGGTGACGTTAGCCAGCAAGCCAGCTGGTGAAGATCAGAGGAGAGACAGCATGGAGAGACCTATTTAGAAATATAAAGATGATCAAAACACACTAAGCCTTCTGGGATGATTGCCCTGACAATATAGTAGAAGCATCTTCTATCTGGAGCCTTAGTCTGCCCCATCTCTCACACTCTAGCTTTATTTCTTGTTGTGCTGTCCTCTGAATACCTGCTCTTGGCATCTTGCTGCAAGTGAACTTTTAGCCAACTGTTGTTTCACTAGCCCACTTTTCTTCCCGTCTGCTCCTCGGATTGTGAGCTGTTCTAGAACACGACTGCAGCACCTATTGAACGCCAGATAAAGTGGCTGGAGTGGCTGGTTCAGCGCAGCCAGAAAGCTCCTGGGTGAGTGGAGTTTGCTGGAGCTGAAACAGAAAAGGTAATTCCTCCCTGCTCTGCTAGAATATACTTTCGGTCTTCAAAGAGTTCGTGGAGACGTTGGCACATGGTTAAGAGTTTGATTATTTTAAAGCCTGTGGCTTTGTCCTTCACCTAAGGTGCTAAGGAATGTAACCTTGGGGACAAAGCAACCTTGTTAATAAAGAAGTAGCCTTGGTACAAGAGTTGAGCTGTTCTGAATTAGATATCAGCTAAAAGACGGTGATACTCATGTTAGTAAGGAAGAAGCCGCAGCTTGCCATGAGGCCCTGTAGTGGGGAATCTCCGCATCTCTCTTGTGACCTGGAAAAAGTGGGTAAGCAAACTGCAGTGGGGTTCAGATCCCTAAAGATGAGGCCCCTCCTTGACCAAATGGGAGCAGTGAAGTTCTTTTTGAGCAGTCCGAGGTAAAGTACCCCAAAACATGACCTTAGGTGTTGCAGGGGTTGTTGGCCTTTGGGGCACACTAGCATACACCTCTAATCAGTTCTGTGGCAATGGCCGTGTGAACAGAGTCCCAAAGGCCACTGTGGAAACCTCTGCTTTGCTCTCACTTGGAAGCACAGGTTTAGTCTTAGACTCTTCCATGGCAGGAAGATAGAGCTGCAGGCTTTGGATGATCTTCCACATAAAGAGGGAGGAAAACATGGGGTGAAGATACAGGCATGTGATGAGAAACGTCTCAGGGTGTGGTGCATTTATTGTTCTTAGGTGGTCACAGTGATGAACCTTTGGTTACAGTTCTGCCTCTGCTCCTTGTGTAGTAGAACAAATGGATATACGCTCCCTGGCTTTGAGGCATGGATGAGTTGCTAATTAAAAGGCATTAGGAAGAGAGCTATTCCATTATTAGCCACTACTGAGCCTCCTGGGAGTTGGTACTGGTTTGCAGCTGAAGGTGAGATTTTGGGGTGTAGTGCATCCCCCACGCGTGTAGAATACCTTGCAGTTCTCTATGACTTGTGCAGGTCCTTCAGTACTGGAATGAGGCAAGAGCCAGTTACCACGCTCGTATCTTTGCCTGCAAGTGGCCATTGTGGCCTTGCTTCACAGTAAGGAAGGTATGTATCCTACAACGGATGTGAAATTTTTATCTTCGCCAGCTGGGCATTGGCTCATGTCCTCTGGCAGGAGACCAAGAGCCTCATTTCTAGTCTCACTAACAGCTCTGGATGCTGTTTTTCATATAAATGCATAATCCTATTTTGAAATGTATTAAGCAGTTTGTATCAACAATTATCCTGAAGCCCAGAGCCACAGGCCAAGCCTTATAGTTTTTCAGAGGATTTTCTTTATCAGTTTTAAATCTATTTTCTTGCCTCTTCCCATCAGAGATGGTCTGTGTTTTAGCTCTTGAACTAGAGCCAAGATCGACAATTTCTGAAACCAACTGTCTTGATAAGATCATTGAAGGATTGTGTTTGTTTTCTTTAATATAACTCTGATAGAGTTATCTGCTCCCCTCTCTCCTCCTAAGTTGGAGCATTTTGTAATGCTGAACATAATATTTACTTAGCCAGGAGTAAAGGTCCCACTAATGTTTTCATATTGGATGCTGCAAGGTCATTTGCATTGAAACTGAGATATCTGAACTTTGCCCGTTGAAGGGTTATATTGGCAGCTTGCCCTGAGCCTGGGAAGCCCTGCCCACCAGCCATGAGGTAAATCAGCCTGCATTTGCTCTCATGTTACTACTACACAAAGCATGATAATAAACACGGTGCACCACAGCATGCAGTACTGTAATTGGCATCTGATTGTCTGCTGTCCAAATTCGGATGGAACATCTATGCTTTGAATGGTTTTACTGATCCACAGTACTTTTTAGTGATTGTGCTCTGTCTTCTTGGGAGTGGTGAATAAGACAATTGAGGAACCTTTTCTAACATCTCACTGCCTTGTTTCGTTCCCCCCAAAAGCTCACAAGTCAGGGATGGTGACATTAACGGACTCAAGCCGGAATGGAGAAAGGAGAGCAGGGAGGGAAGCATCCCAGAGCATGATGCTTGATATCCCTAGGCATCTTTGTGGACGTTGGTAGTTCATAAGATGAAGAAAGGCCTGGAAAGAACTGCAGAGAGGTAGCAATACACATATTCAGTTGCACATATTCATACAAGCAAAGAAAGAAAAGATGAAAAGTAAAAGTAGTAAGTGTTATAGCTGAGGCAAATCTATGTTTGGTGGTAAGAGTAAACCATTATGAAACCCTTTCATAAGTGATTCTGGGATCTTTTTGAAAGGTTTGGTGTTCTGGGATTTTCCAAATGAAGAGGACCAAGACAGCTGAATGTCCTTGCTCTGACAGCGTGCAACATAAGCAAGGGGGCCTGGTGGGCCCTAACCCATCTAGCAGAGGGGTGTGCTCTCAGCAGCAGCCTCGTGGCTCACTATCCTCTTGAAGGTTGTTTACCAGAAAAGAGTTAAAGGTAGCTCTGTTCGTCTGGGGAGATTTCACCTCAGTGTGATCGTGTGCTCTGGCTGCACTCGCAGGAATCAAAACGTTTTGTGTTAGCTACGGCATGTATCCAGGCACCAGCAAGCCTGCAGCACGTTGGGTATTGGGGCCACAAAGCAGCTGGGGCCACAAAGCAGCGCTTGCAGGGTGCTTTTTGAGCTTAATGTGTTGGGGGAAGGGAGATGTTAGCATCTAAATGAAAGGGACCTGCCAGCCGATGACCAGCACAGGGGGTGGTGATTACACAGGGCACTGCTACTGTGGGAGGAGGTCCTGGGGCAGAGTCCCCCTGGGCCTGTTTGGATAGGTCTTCACTCTTGAATTCAATCTTTTCATGCTCTTTTCATGACCAGGGATCAAAGAGGCAAGCTGGGCCCTGCTAAGATACCGCAAACTGAACGCAGTCCTGTCTCTGAACTGCCCCTGCCCCTTCTCCAAGGGACCCCAGGAGGAAGGGAGGAGAAGCGGGAGGAGCAGCAGCTTGGCCCTGTCTAGGGAACAAAAAGCACTTTGTACCTGCTGAATAACCTCCACTCCGCTCCCCACTCCGCCAGCTGCCGCTGCTGCTCCCAGAAGTGAGCAAGCAGGAGGCCTGGCCTTTCC